TCTTAGACCTATCAGTATGATCAACTGTGAACTGAAATTGATCACTTGGACTAGTGAGATGGCATTGGTACATGTCACCTTGATGGGATTGAATTAGAATCCCCTAGCACATTTCTAACTCTACCGTTTGGGGCAAGTAAGCTTTAGCATGTCCCAAATTGTACATCTCCTCCCTCTCTTATTCCAACTCTTATATTTAACAGAGATCACTTTTCACTTAAATTTAATACCTAAGAATAATTGTGTGTTAATTACAGAGTTCAACCAATAGTATTAAGTAGGACCAAAAAAATACTAAAAGGGATAAAGTATTAAGTTGTTCATCAACAGTCAGGACAATGGCTGATCAAGTCACTGTTTCTCATATTGTCCCTTTCACTTCAACAGGTTTCCTTTTTGGTGCTCAGTTAGTTGTCACCGATCAGGGAGAACATATGATATTTGTCCCTTTGGGACTGGCTTATTTCACTCAGCATGATGTGTTCCAGAGTCCTCCATTTTGTTGCAAATGACTGGATTTCGTTGTTTTTTACTGCTGTATAGTATTCCATCGAATACATGTCCCATAATTTCTTGGGAGAATTATTTGAATTATTTTTCATGCATTTCATAGATTTCCTTCAAATCAAGGTCTATTTCTGGAGAATTATTGTGTTACTTTGGATATATCATGCTTCTTTTCATCTTCATGTTTCCTGTGTCTTTATATTGTTATCAGAACATTTATGTAGCTGTTCTTTCTTTATTCATTAGCTTTCATTGGAAGACAGTTTGTTCAGATGGGATGCATCTTGTTCCTTCAGTAGTTTCCTTGGCTTTGGTTTTAGGTGATACCACAAGTGATTTTTTTTTTTGACAGGCAGAGTGGACAGTGAGAGAGAGAGACAGAGAGAGAAAGGTCTTCCTTTGCCGTTGGATCACCCTCCAATGGCCGCCGCTACAGCCGGCGCACCGCGCTGATCTGATGGCAGGAGCCAGGATCCAGGTGCTTTTCCTGGTCTCCCATGGGGTGCAGGGCCCAAGCACCTGGGCCATCCTCCACTGCACTCCCTGGCCATAGCAGAGAGCTGGCCTGGAAGAGGGGCAACCGGGACAGAATCCGGCGCCCCGACCGGGACTAGAACCCGGTGTGCCGGCGCCGCAAGGTGGAGGATTAGCCTATTGAGCCACGGCGCCGGCTCACAAGTGATTTTTTTTGAGAAGTAACCAATGTCACCCAGTATCTCTACGTTCCACATTTATTTGGTGGAAAGCAGTTCATGGAGTGTCTGTGTGAATTTTAAGTGGACATGGGTCTCCAAAAGTGTGTTTTTTCAGACCTTGATACTTGAGTGTCAGTCACAGTGGGGTTTGTAATAGCAGAAGTCACGTCCCTTTTGCTGTGGTACACAGAGAGGACTATTCATGCATCCCAACAGGAAAACATGAATGATTTGGGAGTTTGTGGCACCAATAGCTATGATCCTAGAACTTTAGTAAGTGGGGATCTTTCCCAAGTTCTTCAGTGTGAGCACAGTTGATAATGGGGCTTATTTCCGGGCCGGCGCCGTGGCTCAATAGGCTAATCCTCCACCTTGCGGCGCCGGCACACCGGGTTCTAGTCCCGGTCGGGGCGCCGGATTCTGTCCCGGTTGCCCCTCTTCCAGGCCAGCTCTCTGCTATGGCCAGGGAGTGCAGTGGAGGATGGCCCAGGTGCTTGGGCCCTGCACCCCATGGGAGACCAGGAAAAGCACCTGGCTCCTGGCTCCTGCCATCGGATCAGCGCGGTGCGCCGGCTGCAGCGGCGGCCATTGGAGGGTGAACCAACGGCAAAGGAAGACCTTTCTCTCTGTCTCTCTCTCTGTCCACTCTGCCTGTCAAAAATTAAAAAAAAAAAAAAAATGGGGCTTATTTCCCATAAACCTCAGTCCCAGAACTAGGTGATATGAAGGGTATTTTTATGAGTGCCACAGAATAAGTACACATTATGTTGTGGATTGGATTGTGTTCTGGCAGGTATGGAACTCAGACAGGTTATTCCTCAGGTTCCTTAGCAAGGTGGTAACACTGAGGAATCCATTACCTTCAGACACAGAACTGAATGATAGGAAATGTACTTGCCATGGTTCCATATAAAAATCAGGTTATGCTGTTATGCTGTGGATTATGCATTTATAGCCATGGGCCTTCAGGAACATAATGTACGGGCCTTTTCCAGTTCCCAAACTATAAGTCCTGATACTCATAAAACCAACAGTCATGGTCCAAGAATTGCAGGAAGCATTGCAGACCTTCCCCAGATGCCATCAGTTGAGCACAGGTTTTGCTGGGGATTACTTACTACCAAGAGTGGTCTAGAACAGTGGAATATAGATAGAGCCCTACCCCGATATACTGAAATGAACTCAGGTGACTATGAAATATGCCTCCAATAGTCACAGTCCCATATCTGTAAAACTCAGAGGGAACCTTAGCCAGTTCCGAGTGTGTCATTGCAGATTATGCTGGTACTGTGCCTAGCAGGTGTAGACTTGGAGCAGTGAAATGCAGATAGTCCCTTCCTCAAACTTTGCACTCAAATTTCCCTGGGAATTATAGAACCAATAGTCACAGACCCAGAGCTTCAGGATTCAGTGGGTTTTTTACCTACATCACACAGTTCTGGTGCCAGTTATACTACAGATTATGCACTGCTAGACATGGATCTGGCCTGGAAGAATGCAGATAGGCCACTCTTCCCCAGGACCCATGGAAAAGTATAGATATCTATGGGGTTTATAAAACAAAGATAGACAATCCCAGAGCTGCAGTATGTGGTAAGTTTCTTCCCCAGTTCTCTGGGGCAAGATCAAGTTATGCTGTGAATTGTCGACTGGCAGCTGTAATCTTGAAGCAGAGAAATACAAATAAAGCCCTTCCAGTCTTACCAGTGAGTACAATTCTCAGGAAATTGTATCACCAAGAGCCACAGTCCCAGAGTTGCAGTAAATAGTGGGGACCAACCTCAGGTCCCAAGGGATATACTAGGATGAGTCTGGGGTTTGTGACCTGGCCACCTGGTGCCCTGAGTTTAGAGCAGCAGAAGGGACCTTCCTCTGGTCTGGCCACTAGGGCCTGTTGTATAGATTCCTGCTGCTGCCAAGCCCCAACAATGGAGAGGAACTCCCCTAAATTACATAAAGCAGGAAAGTATGGCTTGTGGGCCTTGTGTCCAGCAATCCTGCAGCAGTAGGAGGCACAGGAACCTGTGAAAAGCACTACTTCCAGGGGCTTCTCATGATGATGGGGTTGCCTACTGTTCCTTAGATAAAATGGGCTTTACCAGCAACTGCCATAGATACTGGGTCTGGGGCCTTGGGAGGGAGGAGGAAATGTTCTTTCCTTTGGGGTTTCTTATTGGAGCAAAGGAGCCACTGGGACCTTCCCCCCCACTAGCTTACTAGACTGGACTGAAAGCCAGTGAGGACTTTGGACTTCTGTAGGTGGGCCTCAGAGTCTGCATGAATAGTGGGAGTCATTGAGCTTCCCTGCATATCTCTTACAAGCAAGGTGAAGTTCCCCTGGCTGGGAAGCAAAGGTAGGAGTTTCAGTGTGCTTTGTTCCTCTCTGCTGAATTTTTGAGTCTCTGTGCCATTAAGGGTTTTGTCACTTTGTTCCTGAAGTCTTCCTTCAATTATTCTCCTGGAAATGTGGCCTTTGTTCTTCTGATTCTTCTCTGTGGCAGAGATGAGTGCAGAGTTTCTCTAGTTAGCCTTCTTGGATTTCTCCCCTTCTATTAATTTTATATGTTTTATGAGTAAGCCTCTAATCTTAGAATTCTCCATTTTCTGTGTTTTAAGTGAAAATCCAGTGATTTTTATCCATACAGTTTCCATAACGTGATTTACTACACCATCCATGATTTCCCCATTGATATGGGATTCACCTTCAGTGCATATCTAGATGGGTCTACCTCATTGTTTTTTTCTGCTGTGGCTTTTTTTTATTTGACAGGTAGAGTTATAGACAGTGAGAGAGACAGAGAGAAAGGTCTTCCTTCCGTTAGTTCACTCCCCAAATGGCTGCTACCACTGGCGCTGCACTGATCTGAAGCCAGGAGCCAGGTGCTTCTTCCTGGTCTCCCACATGGGTGCAGGGGCCCAAGCACTTGGGCCATCCTCCACTGCCCTCCCAGGACACAGCAGAGAGCTTGACTGAAAGAGGAGCAGCCAAGACTAGAACCCGGAGCCCATATGGGATGCCAGTGCTGCAGGCAGAGGATTAACCAAGTGAGCCAGGGCACCAGCCCCGCTGTAGCTTTTAAAATATCTGAAAATAAAAGTTCTCCTCCCATATTTTTGCTTACTTTTTAAAGTTAGTGAACCTTTTAAAAATAGAAATTTTAAGATAAATTAGTGAGGTTCCATAAAAATACCCCAAAGTTGCTTTACATTGAATTTATAGATGACTTTGAGGAGAATTAACATTTTATAGAATGAAGTTATTCTATGTAAGAGCTATGTGTTTTCAAAGTTCTCCTGGTTATTTGGACATAAAACCAGAATGAAATGGTCCTGTTACACATTTATGGAGCTCTGAAAACATCAGCTAATGCTTTTCCTATTATGACTTGTTCATCATACCATTGCAGAACAGACCATGATAAAACAGAAGTCTGCTCTGAGTGGCTCAAGTTCAGAAAGGGGGCATGTTGAAGACAGAGTTCCCATGTTCCATGTCAATGGTGCCTCCTGGGGACTGAGGCTGGCTGATCAGAGACAGGCTTGACTTCTTTGCCCACATACTCCATTCTCCTGCTTTTGTCAGCATAAATTCAGAATGCACATGCCTTTGGTATAACCTAGACCCCAACACAAACCCAAATACCTGAGAAAATATGGTGGACACCAAGCAGTCTGGGTCCAAACAAGCTGTGGAAATAGGGTTATTGAATCTCTGGATGTCCTTCAAGCCTCCCTTAACATTTCCTAAGTAAGTGACTCAGTTTTCTGACCCTCTTTTTCATCTTGATTTTCTTTCAGAGTGGAGAGCAGCTCAACAATATGCAGGTAACTGAAACAAAAAAACTATGATTTGTGACAGGCCAGATTTTTTCCTTTTGTAATTTTTTAAAGGTAAACAAATTTCATGCAATTTATATACACAGATTTGAGAACATAGCGATATTTTTCATCTTACCCTCTCTCCTGCCCAAGCTCCCACCCTTCCTCCTCCTTCTTCTTTTATTTTCTTTCTTACTTTCTACAATGATCTACTTTCAGTTTATTTTTTTAAACTTTTATTTAATGAATAGAAATTTCCAAAGTACAGCTTATGGATTACAATGGCTTTTCCCCCTCATAACTTCCCTCCTACCCGCAACCCTCCCCTCTCCCACTCCCTCTCTTTTTCTATTCACATCAAGATTCATTTTTAATTATCTTTATATACAGAAGATCAATTTAGCATATATTAAGTAAAGATTTCAACAGTTTGCACCCATACAGAAACACAAAGTGTAAAATACTGTTTGAGTACTAGTTATAGCATTAATTCACAATGTACAACACATTAAGGACAGAGATCCTACATGAGGAGTAAGTGAGTTTACTTTATACTCATAAGTTTAACCCTATACTAAGTATAGATTTCAAAAAATAGCAAGAATTAAAAAACACTGTTCCTCAACAGTAGATACAAGGGATATAAATGATCATCTTAAACAGAAGGCAGGAGAGATCTGAGATTAGAGTGAGGCAAGCACAAGGCCTGAATCCACAAAAACAAAGCACATATATCCAATATAACACATACGCTTGCATATGTATCCATGCATATACAAACATGCTGAATGCTATCTGGGTTTCACTAGCTTTGTTTCCACTAAGCAGGAAAGTTGCATCTTGGATCTGTTTGTAGGAGAGAATACAGAATCTGAAAGGAATCTCTCAGATCATCTGGAAGAAGGGATCCTCGGGTTTCCTATTCATCAGGGTGGGGTGTTGGAGTGCAGGGCACTGGACTAGATGATCTCAGAGGTTCCCTTCATTTTAAAAAATCCTGAAATTGCTATAACATGGAGTCCCAGTGCTCACCTGATTTTCTCAAAGTCACACAAGGGAACAGAACTGGCCCACAGGTACTAGTTCCTTCCCACAAACTTACCTGTTTGCTATCTTTTTTTCTTTGCCACCAAATATGGGTTTTGGGAATGTCCCAGTTCAGTAAAGAAATAGGATTCCTCTTAACAATTAAAAATGCTCAAAAAATAACACTTCTATGGGGGGTGGGAGAGAGTGTCCCAGAGTTGGGAGGACTGTGACAATTATTCCAATTGCTCTTTGTTTGCCTTTTGAGAGGAAGGGACAAAAGAGTCCCAGAACCGTCCTTACTGACATTAACCCCATTCCTCTCTTCAGTGAAGGTGACACTAGATCCAGCCACCGCACACCCCAGTCTGGAGGTCTCAGAGGATGGCAAGAGCGTGTGCTCCCATGGCATTGCTCCAAACAGGGTGCCAGACGACCCACAGCGGTTCTCAGAGCAGACATGCGTGCTGAGCCAGGAGCGTTTCTCTGTAGGCCGCCACTACTGGGAGGTGCATGTGGGCCGCCGTAGCCGCTGGTTCCTGGGAGCCTGTCTGGCCACGGTGTCGCGTGTGGGGCCCACGCGCCTGAGCCCTGCCGGAGGTTACTGGGTGATGGGACTGTGGAACGATTGTGAGTACTTCGTCCTGGACCCGCACCGTGTCGCCCTCACCCTGCGTGTGCCACCTCGACGCGTGGGCATCTTACTGGACTGCGACGCAGGGAAGCTGTCCTTCTTCAATGGCTCTGACGGCTCCCACATCTTCACCTTCACTGACACCTTCTCTGGGGAGCTGTGCGCCTATCTCAGGCCCAGGGCCCCGGATGGCACAGAACACCCAGATCCCCTAACCATCTGCACATTGCCGAAAAGAGGGCCACGTAGCCCCGAAGAGGACCATAACGACACCTGGTTGCAGCCTTATGAGCCCTCGGACCCCGCCCTGGGCCTGTAGTGAGCTCGCACGGTGGGTTCTGGGCCCCTTCCTGGAGACCCTGGCCGCTTTGCCCTGGTGCTTCTCTTAGAGTCACATATGACCAACCCAAATGTCAGCAGCTGGACAGACTTTTGCCAATTTAGGGGTCTCTGTGTGTGCGTGTGTGCGCGTGTGTGCGCGTGTGTGATTTTCTTTAAGGAAAACAGGAAGTTCCAAAGTTCATTCATTTATATTGTAGTACTGAGTAAAAGTAAAAATTAACTGATGCTTTTGTCAGGGAGTTTGCTGTGGGAGATGAGAAACTCAGATGGGGGAGAGAGGGAGAAGAATCTTGTTGGATTAACTTAGAGGGGGATTTATGTGGTTTCAAAATTTTGGATATATTTGCTGGTTCTTATAAGGTCCAGAAGCAATGACACCTCACAAGATGTAGGTTCACTTATAACCAGATCTTGGGTTTAAATACTATTTCCCACTAAAATGACGCTGGAGAAATGTCTGATTCCAAGGCTGGGGCAAGGATAGTACAAAATTAGCCTGAACCATCTTGTGTCATAAATAAACGTATATGGTGAAACTGAACTACAGGAGGCATAAATTCAGGAGCTCTGTGTTGTACAAAATGCATGTGTACTTGAAAATTACTGAAAGTATATTTTAAATGTTCTCTCCACAAAAAATGTTATGACTATGAGATAGGACACAGCTTAACTAGCTTTATTTAGCCATTCTGCAATGCATGTACATGTATATATGTATAAAAACATTATATTGTACACCATAAATATATACATTTTGTCAAAACAATGAGTAGATTAATGTAAATGTTTAAAACATATAAAAAGAAATTAATGATGACAAAAGTACATAGGTGACAGTGTGGAGGGGGCATATCAGTTACCTATGGGGACAGTTTGAACATAAAAATTAGTAATGATGAGAATAGATTGTAAGGCACTGAATAAACAAAATATTCCTGAGTCCATGCTTATATTTACTTCTTTCTTTTCAAAGAGAAACAAGAAGTTTTTCTTTAAAAATGAAATCTAATAAATTCAGGTGAAAGAAATGATAGAAAAAAATGCCAGCTACCCCACTGTGTCAATAATAACTGGAATAACCATTGAGTAAAAGCTTTTTAGAATTCAGGGTATTTCCACAATCTTAAAGTAGTAACCTCATACATTTATTAAGTTTGGAAGGGTAAAGATTGTCCCATCATTGGAGAAATCTGCCAAATTAATCAAGTAATTAAATTTAGCATTGCCAGTGATGCAACATATTCAACACTTGAGGAAAACAAAACAGGGATTGTATGTTAAGTGTTATGTGAATGTTAATTTTTAGAGTGAGACATTTTAATGTGGTTATATAGGAGAATCATCTTGATCTGGGTAAATGTATGCTGAATATTTTAGAAGTAAATTAGGACAGTGTCTACAACTGACTCTCAAATGCCTCAGTGGAAAATATATACATGTATGATGTATAGAGATAAAGCAATTGTGGCAAACTAATATTTGGTAAATGTAGATAAATAGTCTTCTGATGTTCACTGTTCTAGATATATAGCTTTGCTAGGTTTGATACTTTTCAGCTTAAAAGAGTTGTGGAAGAGGAGAAAAAATAAGGAAGGCAAATACAACATGTTCCTACTTATGTGTAGAATCTTAAAAGATGAACTCATTGAACTCAAGACTGGAATGATGATTCCCAGAGGATGGGGAGAAAAGAGCTTGTGGAAAGGGAAGATGTTGATCTAGAAATACAAAGTTTTGTTGGGAAAAAAAAAAGAGTAGTAATATATTGCAGAGAATGGTAACCATAATATTTTTAAAAACAAAACATATGTTCTGTGACCACATATAATCATTATTCCTTTAAGATCATTTTTATCATGCATTAAAGAAGAGCAAACAAATACATGACACGAAAGACAATATTAAACTGATTTTTAAAGAATCTGATTCCTTCAGCTCACTTTAAATAATGGAGAAATACAGACTTACAGCCTTCAGGGACCTCAGACATTCAGCTATACATTTTGTGAACCACAAAGGCCATGCTGGGGCAATCAGGAAGCTCGGAATTCAGAACAGAAATTCAAGTTTGGAAACACCAAGTACTTTATGACCCTCTAACAAGTTCCTAAAATCAGGACATAAGTGCAGTCATTTGGCCTAGTGGTTAAAATGTTCGCATGCTGGGTTAGAGTCCCTGGGATTGAGTTCCAGCTCTGCTCCTGACTCCAGTTTCTTGCTAATACAGACACTGGAAGCCAGCAGAGAAGCAATGCTGGCTCAGGTAGAATCTTTGTCCCCAAAATGGGAGACCTAAATTAAATTTCCTGCCTCTTGGCTTTAGCCTGACTCAGCCTCAGGTGCTATGGTCATTTGGGGAGTGAATCAGAAAATGAATCTCTCTCTCTCTTTCTCTAGCTCTCTCTTTCCAAAAAGTAATATTTTCTTAAAATATAAAAATAATACATGGTAATTCAGTACTCTGCAATGTTCACATTTTCCATGTATTTACCACTCAAAACTGAGAAAGGGTGAATGCAACATTTGTATATCACAATACAGTGTACAAAATACACTTGGTCTTCTGTATCACAGGTTCCATATCTGTCAATTCAACCAACTATGGATAGAATATATTTGGAAAAAACTGTCCCTGTACTAAACACATAGAGACTGTTTTTTCTTGTCATGATTCCCTAACAATATAGCAGCTATGTACATAAAAGTTTTTAAATTGTTTTTAGTATTATAAGTAATCCAGAGATGATTTTTTAAACTTTTATTTAATGAATATAAATGTCCAAAGTACAGAATTTGGATTACAATGGCTTCCCCCACCATAACTTCCCTCCCACCTGCAACCCTCCCCTTTCCCACTCCCTCCCCCTTCCATTCACATCAAGATTCATTTTCAATTCTCTTTATATACAGAAGATCAGTTTACCATACATTAAGTAAAGATTTCAACAGTTTGCTCCCACATAGAAACACAAAGTGAAAAATACTGTTTGAGTACTATAGAATTAAATCACACTGTACAGCACATTAAGGACACAGATCCTACATGAGGAGTAAGTGCACAGTGACTCCTGTTGTTGACTTAACAAATTGACACTCTTGTTTATGGCAACAGTAATCACCCTAGGCTCTTGTCATGAGTTTCCAAGGCTATGGAAGCCTTCTGAGTTCACCAACTCTGATCATATTTAGACAAGGTCGTAGTCAAAGTGGAAGTTCTCTCCTCCCTTCAGAGAAAGGTACCTCCTTCTTTGATGACCTGTTCTTTTCACTGGGATCTCACTTGTGGAGATCTTTCATGTAGGGTTTTTTGAGTGTTTTGGCTTTCCATGCCTGTTATACTCTCATTGGCTTTACAGCCAGATCTGCGTGCCTTAAGGGCTGATTCTGAGGTCAGAGTGCCATTCAGGACATCTGCCATTCTATGGGTCTGCTGTGTATCTCGCTTCCCATGTTGGATCATTCTCTCCCTTTTTTATTCTATCAGCTAGTATTTGCAGATACTAGTCTTGTTTATGTGCTCCCTTTGGCTCTTAGTCCCATCATTTTGATCAATTGTGAACAGAAATTGATCACCGGGACTCGTGAGATGGCATTGGTACATGCCAACTTGATGGGATTGAATTGGAATACTCTGGTATGTTTCTAACTCTACTGTTTGAGGTAAGTCAGCTTGAGTATGTCCCAAATTGCACATCTCTTCCCTCTCTTATTCCCACTCTTATATTTAACAGCAATCATTTTTCAGTTAAGTTTCAAACCTTGAGAACAACTGTGTATTGATTACAGTATTCAACCAAAAGTATTAAGTAGAACAAATAAACAAAAAAAGTACTAAGAAGGATAACGTCTTAAGTTGTTCATCAACAGTCAGGGAAAGGGCTGGTCAAGTCACAGTTTCTCATACTGTTCATTTCATTTTAATAGGTTTCTTTTTTGGTGCTCAGTTAGTTGTCACCAATCAGGGAGAACATATGGTATTTGTCCCTTTGGGACTGGCTTATTTCACTCAGCATAATGCTTTCCAAATTCCTAACAGGGATCACTTTTCAGTTAAAATTTAAACACCTATGAATAATTGTGTGTTAATTACAGAGTTCAACCAATAGTACTAGAACAAAAAAATACTAAAATGGATAAAGTATTACATTGTACATCAACAGTCAGGACAAGAGCTGATCAGGTCACTGTTTCTCATAGTGTCCATTTCACTTCAACAAGTTTCCCCTTTGGTGCTCAGTTAGTTGTCGCCGATCAGGGAGAACATATGATATTTGTCCCTCTGGGACTGGCTTATTTCACTCAGCATGATGTTTTCCAGATTCCTCCATTTTGTTGCAAATGACCAGATTTCATTGTTTTTGACTGCTGTATAGTATTCTATAGAGTACATGTCCCATAATTTCTTCATCCAGTCTACCGTTGATGGGCATTTGGGTTGGTTCCAGGTCTTATCTATTGTAAATTGAGCTGCAATAAACATTAATGTACAGACAGCTTGTTTGTTTGCCAATTTAATTTCCTTTGGGTAAATTCCAAGGAGTGGGATGGCTGGGTTGAATGGTAGGGTTATCTTCAGGTTTCTGAGGAATCTCCAGACTGACTTCCATAGTGGCTAGATCAGTTTGCATTCCCACCAACAGTGGGTTAGTGTCCCTTTTTCCCCACATCCCCTCCAACATCTATTGTTGGTAGATTTCTGAATGTGAGCTATTCTAACCGGGGTGAGGTGAAACCTCATTGTGGTTTTGATTTGCATTTCCCTGATTGCTAGTGATCTTGAACATTTTTTCGTGTGCCTGTTGGCCATTTGGATTTCCTCTTTTGAAAAATGTCTATTGAGGTCCTTGGCCCATCTCTTAAGTGGGTTGTTTGTTTTGATGTTGTGGAGTTTCTTGATTTCTTTGTAGATTCTGGTTATTAACCCTTTATCTGTTGCATAGTTTGCAAATATTTTTTCCCATTCTGTTGGTTGCCTCTTCACTTTCCTGACTGTTTCTTTTGCAGTACAGAAACTTCTCAATTTGATGCAATCCCAAATGTTCATTTTGGCTTTGACTGCCTGTGCTTCTGGGGTATTTTCCAAGAAGTCTTTGCCGGTACCTATATCTTGCAGGGTTTTTCCAATGCTCTTTAGTAATTTGATGGTGTCGGGTCGTAGATTTAAGTCTTTAATCCATGTTGAGTGAATTTTTGTGTCAGGTGTAAAGTAGGCGTCTGCTTCATGCTTCTGCACATGAAATCCAATTTTCCCAGCACCATTTATTGAATAGACGGTCCTTACTCCAGGGATTGGTTTTGGATCCTTGATCAAATATGAGTTGGCTGTAGATGTTTGGATTGATTTCTGGTGTTTCGATTCTGTTCCATTGGTCTATCCATCTGTTTCTGTACCAGTACCATGCTGTTTTGATAACAGCTGCCCTGTAGTATGTCCTGAAATCTGGTATTGTGATGCCTCCGGCTTTGTGTTTGTTGTACAAGATTGCTTTAGCTATTAGAGGTCTCCTGTGCCTCCATATGAATTTCAGCATAATTTTTTCCAGATCTGAGAAGAAGTTCTCTGCTGAAGTAGAATTAAGTTGCTTTCTTAGCAGTCAATGCCTGGAACTTCAGGTATAGTAAGAAATAGATTAGACTTTTGCTTTTTGACTGAGCAACTGCTGGAGGCAGGGTATGAACCAGCTTCAGTTCAAAATTCCAGGAGGAACCACTTGGGGGTGGGGGGGCATGATTTCCTTAGTTTCACCTGCCAGTGGCCCACCGGGCTCTCACTGTAAAGACTGAAGGAAAATTTTCTCTTGTTTCTAGCATGGGAAAGAGAAAAGCAATTAGTTTCAAATATGTTCTCTTTCATTTTTCTATTTCAAAGGGCTGCCCTCAAGGGAACCAAAACCTTACCTAACTTGAGGAGGAGTAATTGGCCAACCCTACCCTACTCAAGTCT